ATATATAGATATTATATATATTATATTATTAGCTTTATATATATGAGTAGATATTCTCGACATTTCATTATTCATTCATTTGTCTTATTATTGCAGTGAATAGGAAACCAAATCAAGTATTGGTCGACAAAAGGCTTAACAATATATTCACTTCAAACCAAACATCACATTAAGATTTTATCGAAAATAAATATTTTGTTAATGAAATTAATTTTTAAAATTCTGTTTTTACTGCTTAATTATTTAACTAAACTCTATGTAACTGTTATAATAATAATAATAATAATATTCTTATCAAAAAGTTTCGCTAAACATATATTAAGATAAATGAAAAACCTATTTAATTAAGATATTTGCGACATGTCACATACCTTGTTGCCCCAATTACCCCAATGACCCTTGTTATGTCCAGCACCGTGTTTGCCCCAATGGCTTCCGTGTTTATTAGCTCCGTGTTTATGCCAACCCCCGTGACCTTAATATTCATATTACATTTTTGTTATATTACTTTCTTACAATAAATTATTTATTTCCTTTTCAATGATTTGCTTCAAAAATTTATATTTTAATTAAATATAAAAAATAAAGGATTTATGTGTTCACTCAAAAATAAAATAATATCTTACAGGTATAGATAAGTTTAAGATTTATGGGGTTTAAGAATAATCTTTAATTTTTTTTATTAAACTTTATATAAAATACTATGTTATATGTCAATATTATAGAATAAAAAATTAATTTTTTTGCATAATAATATGGTGGATTTAACTATTGATATAAATCCTAATTTGTTATTCTTACCATGGTTTCCCCAGTGGCCGTGTTTGCCGTGTCCATGATTACCTTTAGTCAAGTAGGAGTTTGTCATTTTAATAAATTTCTTTTGTTAATAATATTTACCCCAAGATTTTCCATGTTTGCCTATATGTTGACAGAAAATATAAATTTTATATTCAATTTATAAAAGAAATTCAAATAAAATGAGTAAACAATGTTAAAAGAGAAATGTGAAACTTATCTATAAATAACTTTATTGGGTAATCAAATATAATTTGTTTTGTAAATTTAATACTATATCCATCTTACTTAACTTAATTTACTTACAATTAAATTTAATTTAATTTACAAATTATAAACAATGCTAATAAATTTTGTAAAGCTTAATTTGTAAAAATATAGACTAAATACTTTATCTACACTTGATCATTCTTTATGAGTTTATAGCAACAAGGAATATTATACTAATTCGATAATATGAATATTTGTTGAAAATTTAAACAACCAAGGCTATCATAATTAATAAACTGTAATATCTAATATGAGATTCAGAATAGTTGCAATAAATAATACTACATTTCTCTCAAATGGTAAATGTATTATGAAATATCAAATATAAATACCCCAGTGTCCGTGTCCAGCATTATGGCCTCCATGTCCGCCTCCCCCTCCATGCGATGAATGGTGTCCGCCATGAGATGAGTGGTGATGTCC